GATATGACAGCATCACGCAGTTACTGCAGATTTGTCACATTCATGATGTGGATCTCTGGTTCTGCCACATCCCAAAAGTGCGCTATTGGATTGAAATATGGTGACTGAGGAGGCCATTTGAGTACAGTGAACTCATGTTCAAGAAACCAGCTTTTGCGACATGGTGTGTTATCCTGCTGGAAGCAACCATCAGAGGATGGGCACACTGTGGTCATAAAGGTATGGACATGGTCAGCAACATTACTCAGGTAGGGAACGGATGACGATAACACATAAATAACTGTGTGTAATCTCAGTTTAATACATACTTTAAGTAAGAGAAATAGAGGGTAATTTAAGACAATATTATAAAGATTATTCTTGTGAAAGAAAACCTGCTGTCACTGTGAGGTTTCCTCTCCAGGAAATCAATCTCCAAGATTGGAAACATGTAAATCCCTCTAAAACCTTTTTTTTTTTTTTACATATTATTTGGTGCACAGATGCAACTCTGGTGCATTTCCAAAATGTCATAATACTCCTTTAAAGTTAGGGTTGCACAAGAAACACTCACATTCATTTCACTGCGGCTATTATGTTGACACAGTGAAATACCAGTGTGCACCTTCCATTGTCTTCTGCAAAATTATCTACAGTTGCACTAGCTGGCAAATCAAATAGATAGAAACAGGCATTACAGCAGATTAAGATCAATAGAAATGGTCTTTTTTTTAATAACTAACCTGCCAATCACCACTATGCAGAGTAAAAGAAAGATGATCATTGTATCCTGAGTTGTGAAATTGTGTTGTGCAGTATTGTAAACTGTTGTGAAATGCTATTGTGTCTGATAAGCATTCAAAATGATTCATTTTAAGAAATATGCATCAAGCTGGCAAATAAATTCTGAGCATTTTGTACAAGTGGAAAATACTACTTCGAAGGTTGTATCTCATACCAGACTAGATTTCTAAACCTTTAGATCTGTAATCAGTCTGTGGATGTTTGGAAATGACTGCTGTTGGGATTGAAAATGTTTCATTTCTTTTACCAAAATAAGTGGTTATAATAATTTTCATACATTTACTGCAAATGTGCTCATAATAAGTTGGCACTCAGTCTTCTGAAGGTCATAAGCTTTGTTCGGCGTGACTGTCCAGACTGATATATTGTAGGAAAGGACTTAGAGTGCAGAGGGGTAACTGCAAACATGCTTACACACATAGATCGTGATTAGAATAATTCTCTAGGTCAGAGAGTCCTGAACATGATATTCTAAACCAACTTTGAATCACTAGAAGAACAATGGATAATAACATTAGATTATCAAGGCTAGGCAGAGAGGTGTTTTGCTTTTCTGTCTCTTACAGACGAGGAAACAGATACCAGACAAAGTCACGGAAATAAGAGGATGCTTCGGAGCAGACACCAAGACTGCCACGTCTGTGCGGGAGGAAGATAGCCGCTATAATCTAAGTCGGAGGAACTGTCATTTATACAGTTTTATATATAAGGCGATACTTGGGTTGCTGCCTTCTTATATATGTTCCCTGCTTGTAATGAAACATGCTGGTCGGTATTCTCTTCTTCCGCATGGTTATTTGTTGCTTTCTGTTCCATTTGCCCGAACTGAACTTGGTAAAAGAGCTTTTGTCCATTTAGCACCCTCGGCTTGGAACAAACTGCAGAAGGAATGGAAAATGACTGAATTCATTTCATTAAGTGATTTTAAATCTAAACTACGAATCCTTGAGGCCAAGTCCATAACATGCAACTGTTTCAATTAGATTGATTGTCATTTTAACTGACTTTTTTATTTTTTTGTATTCTTTCACTTATTGTTGCATGTGTGTTGTTGCTGCCTGTGTTTGAGTAATTTCTGTAACTGTGAGACATCTGCTGCTGCCTATCTTGGCCAGGTCTCCCTTGAAAAAGAGGTTTTTAATCTCAATGGGTTCTTCCTGGTTAAATAAAGGTTAATAAAAAATAAAATATAATCTATGTTTTTGTCTCACTATATAATGTTGTACACTTGAGGGTCATCCTTTTTGTGAAACATGCTGTTGGTTCATGTAGAGGTCCACAGCACTGTGTAAACTTGTAATTTCAACTGCCAAAAGCAAAGTAAATCCTTTTTAAAAGACAAACCTTTCTCCTGAGATTCCTTCCAAAAATTCTGAACACGACACTACAAGAAAGACACAATCAGAGAGAAGCACTTCCTGTTACAGAATTATACAGTGGTTTCTGTGTGTGTGTGTGTGTGTGTGTGTGTTTTTAGGGGACGTGAAAATCTGGGACAGAGTGAGCCTAGGGGTGTATCAGCAGCCAAAAGCCATCACTAAGAATGAGGTTCAATCCTGTGATAAGAACTCTGAGAGTTTATAAAACCTGGCACCACGCAGCCCTGTGGAAATCCCAAAGGCCTGGTGATCAAAATGGGGGAGAAATAGTATCAGACTAAGAGAGGAAAAAACCTACAGCTGAATTTGGCTCGGAAATTTGTTATTCAGTATTTGGAAAGTGAAACACATGCTCTTACAAAATGACTGGCAGTGAAACCAACACATGGTGCTCTTGAGGTGCTAGGTGATTTCAGTCTTTCTGTGCTGAAATGATAACACATTTGATCTCCAGGCATTCCACATATAAAAATGTGTAAATGGGATAACTCCTGCTTTTCTTATTTGGGTATTTGGATTCAGTACTTATATAATCTTCAAATGTATCACGTTTTATAGATAAAGCCTTATTTCCTCTTTGAAAATAGTCAAGGAAGAGCTAGAGTCCTGAAAAGAAATACTGGGATTTTTTGTTTTTTGCGCCATTGTTCTGTAATTACCACATGTGGCCACAGGGGCCGCTGTTAAACAAATGGTGCAGTGATTTCTTACTGAAAGGACACGAGTATATCCCGCAGACTTCATTGCACTGGTAATAAAGTCGAAAAATATATTGAACACAATACAAGGCTGCTGTTTTGTGAACCTATCAATACATTAAAAAAATCGCCCAGGTCTTTTTTTCTTCTTCTAATCAGGATAATATATAGACTGAAATATGTCTGTGAAGGTATAGACTGAAAGTAATATAGGCCTACTGTAGTCATTAGTTGTATTGCTTCTTTTATCTGTGTTTATAGTTACTTAATGTAATCATTTAGATTTTTAGGGAGGAGTTGTTTTGCTTTTCTTTTTTGTCTCTTTGTCATTATTTTAAGTCTATCAGACGAATAGAGCCTTTTATGTGTCTTTGGAGTCCTTTTATGATCTTTTGTGTTTGTTTTGCAGTGCAAGTGCACTATTAAACTGAGAAACAACAGCGGCGCGTGGGGGTTGGTAGCTGAAAAAATCTTCCATTGCTTCTTTAACTGAGCGCTGTGACTTTTCCACTAAAAAGGTGTATTATAACCCTATCAGTAATCCAAAGGATTGGTAGCTTAATGAAATCAGACTGAAAATGGAAAACAGAACACAAAAAATAGCCCAACACAAGACACATTTTTGTCTAGGTTTAGGACATGTATAGCAGAATTTGTTTTGTCCTTGTACTTTGACATTGTTGAAGGTTTAAAAATGAATCTATAATAGTATTAATAGTATAAAGCTGCTTTCCTCATGATCCCAACAACTCCTTTTTCAGTGGAGTGAGCTGGAAAGTGTTGCCACCCTCACTTATGAAGGCAAAGGATTTCAAATGCATTACTACATTAGCTACAACCACCTGATTTTAGTGGACTAATAAAGATGGTAGGGTTCAGCAGATCTTATAATGATGCTTCCCGAAAACTTCCTATGCATTTTGGCCTTGTCTGAGTGTTAGGTCTATCTAACACTCAGGAGATTATGTCTCTTGAGACATAAGAGATTATGTGATTTGTTGTAAATGCCTCAGGGTCCCACCAGAAGAGCTGGAGGTGGTGGCTGAGGAGAAGGAGGTCTGGGAATTTCTGCTGAGACTGCTGGCCATGTGACGTGGAAGAAGATGGACGGCTGGATAAAAAGAAAAAAAAAAAACAGATGCACTACTTGTGACCACCCATCCTCCAAATTAGCAAGGCGTGGTGTGGAATTAGCAATATCTTGCTCACAGAATTCAGCTGGCGCATGAACATTAACTTGTTGATTTAGAGTCTGTGCAACATATTGGAGCCAGTAATCAGGAGTGTCAAACATAAGGCACAAGGGAAGGAATTGTCTCAACAAAGACAGTAATCTGGCTCCCCTGGATGGCTTTGGAAAACGAGACCTAAATTTTTTAATAGATTTTCTTAATGATGAAGTGGAGCTTCATTGTTGTAGTCCATTAAAGATAAAAGTATGTGCCCTACAGTTTGACATCCCTGATCTAGAGAATACAGAACATAAACATAACATATTCTATTCCAGTACAAGACCATTTAACACATGCCCAATCTTCTAAAATCAATGTAAATGAGAACTAGATTCATAAACAGACACATCATAACCTCACATTAATTTTATTTATTTATTTATTTTTACTGCTTTTCTTGCAGGAGTAGATCAAACTCGTGTTTCCATAAGTGATTTGCCCTTTATCTTTGATACAGCCACATGACAGACACTACTCAGGCTGATGACATCTCAGCCTATAGTTTCTTCATGTTTGATGCTAGCCCCACCCACCTATGCCATGTCACACCAATGAGGATGTGCAATTTTGATTATGCTGTTTCACAGATTTCACTTACCATTAATAATAAGAACAATAATAATTTTACCTCTTTAAGTGTGAAAACAAAGCTTATATACAGCACGTTTGCTGTATATAAGTATCGCAGTCATAGTTACTGCCCTTATGTTTGAAGTATATGCAAAAATATATACATAATGGATATTGAAGAAGCCAACTGTGTCTTAATTTATCTTTGATTTAAGATAGAACTGCTGTGTTATGATACACAGTTACCAGTTTCTTTGAAGTGTTTCCTGCCATATAAAATGTGCTTTATTGTTTTATTACTTCATGCGGATAGCGAAGGGTTAACAGTGTGCCGAAGACGTATTGAAGGAGGAAAAAAAATCCTCCTCAGCTGTGGCACCAATACCTAACGACCTGACCGGTCTCCGCTCGTTACCGTCAATTTGGGGAAATGGATTTAGCCTTGATAGGACAGGACGCGAGCCGTGCGGGCTCGTGGTTGTAGAAGGAGATCAAAAGACGCGTGGTGTGCGCGGCGAACCCCTCCGTGTCTTATTCTCAGCGCTCCTCTCCCCTCGGCCGGACTCAGGTCTGTGTGGCGTCGGCAGGCAAAAGCGGCCCTCCTGCTCTACTCATTCTTTGTGTGCGCATGTGTGGCTTGCGTGTGAACCGGCAAAATCAGAGAGCAAAGCAGGCCAGCGCGCGACAGGGAAGCCGGGCAGTGTTGAGGTAGCCCAGCTAGCAGCCGCACGGTTGTTTTTTTTTTTTTCGCACTGCCAGAGATGGTCACGTCCACACAGGGGATCCTTCTGCTGCCGATGCTAATATGTCTCCAACGCTTCGTTAACGTTCACGGTAAGTCCCGAGCCACCATTTCTTTTGTGTGTGTGTGTGTGCGTGTGTGTGCATTTGGAGTCACCGTACCGGCGAAACGCGCACCCTGTGCGGTGAGGTTAGCTAACCTTAAACGGAGCTGCACACCTGTCTTGGCTGCTCCTTGAAGAAAAGCCCGTGCTTGGCTGCACCTTGGGGCCACTCAACCCCTGCCGCTTCTAATCGAGGAAAGCTCTCAAACTGCGTCTTTCTTAAGGGGACAAAATGAGAAATATGTGCTTTAAATGAATCTGAGTCTGCATTATTTTAGCTCTATTAATTATTGGAAACTACAGGGAGGGGGGTGGCCCCGTTGGGTTCAGCGCTGCTCGTTGATGCTCAATTAGCCCCACGGTCATTTAATTTAGCCCTGAAGACCCGCAGCCATTCAAATTGTAAACCCTTGTCGTCCTGATTTCTCCTTTACTTAGACTGTTGGGTTTTTCTCCTGTCATCTCCACCCCCATCGAGCTTCGTAATTTATTTATTTATTCATAAAGTGGAAGCGGACTGGGGAAAGGGGGTGGGTAGGCTGAAAAGCGTGGACACAGTGCGTTAACACGGAGAGAAAAAGCCACAAATAAGGGTAGCAAGCAGCCCCGCAGTTTCGGGAAAGGAGTATCAGCAGTTGACGGGGTTTTTTTTGTTTGTTTTTTTTGGGGGGGGGGGCGCAAATTACTGCAGGGGATCCCAGTGAAGGCCCAATTAAGAGCAAAGTGGCCAAGCTCGAGCCGTTGGCAGCTGGTGGTACTTGTAGAGCTGTGCGCACTGGGGTTGCAGCTGTTGGTGATTTTCATGATTGGTTGTGGAATGGAGAAAGCGCTCTGGTCTGCAGAGTAACAGAAAATGTCACGGAGTGTCGGTTACAAGTTCAGAGCATAGCAACAATCAAAAGTTAAAAAGTTGCAGGGCTTTTGTTTGTTTCGGGTTCAGAAATGGGCATGTGGAGGGTGGACTAAGCACAACTGGGCTGCATACACTCAAATATATGAGCAACTTTTTTTGGGAGAAATATTTGTATGTCACACAAACCCCTCACTTAAATTCTGTGATGCACCTGCTAAGTTATATTTTTTAAACATTGTATCATGTGGATACTTTTACATATGTGGATACAGACAAGGGGCTAATTAGAATGAGATTTTAACTGCATTTAATTACTTCAGAACCATAGTCATACATCGATCCCCTCTAATCTAAACTGTATCAATGTAAAGATTGATGCGTAGATGTAGAGGGACCTCTAGAATTTATATATGGCTTTCCATAAATAGTAAACGCATCCATTTTTTTGGCAACATCTGTGACTGAGAATATGAAGTGCTAAAACGTTGAGGAATTAAGCATATTGAATTTGGTCTCTATTGGTGTATTTCCCCCCTTTAATAACTGCTAGAGAAGGTGATTTATTTATTTGTCATTATATTTTTAATAACTCGTCTATCAGGTGTCCCAACACAGGCTTTTGTAACAGACTGTCTGTTACAGGGCCTCACTTTATCTAATTAGAGCCACTGAACTTCATGCTGCTTGGAGCATTTTTAATGGAATTGGCTGCCAAATAACATGGCTTGTTGTGTGATTTTTGGAGGTTTGTTAATGTTTAAGTAATATTCTAGTGTCATCAGTGTAGCATGGCAGCAGCTGTGATGAAGCCTCAAAATCCAGAACATAGCTTGTCTTTTTTCCCTTGATTAGAATGACTTCATAGTCTAATGGTTATCACTTTTGCCTAACAAAATGGTAAATGGCCTGTATTTGTATAGCGCTTTACTTAGTCCCTAAGGACCCCAAAGCGCTTTACACTACATTCAGTCATTCACCCATTCACACACTGGTGCCCTGGGGCGCACTGACAGAGGCGAGGCTGCCGGACACTGGTGCCACCAGGCCCTCTGACCACCACCAGTAGGCAACAGGTGAAGTGTCTTGCACAACGACTGACTGTCCGAGCCGGGGCTCAAACCGGCAACCTTCCGATTACAAGACAAATGGCCAACTCTTGAGCCACGAACAAAAGAAAGATTACCAACTTGATCTTGAGAGAAGACTGAAATCCTTTGGGATTGTTTTGGGAATAACGGAGCAGCTGAAAGTGGGTTATTATAAAAGTGCTTCAGTATTGCTAGAGTTTGTTTCATGCATCCATCTATATTGGTCTAAACTGAGGTGCATACATGACTCTGGACCTGGTCCAAATGTCGGTATATGCGAGTACTGTCAGTGATTGGTTTCTTTTCTGATAATTATGCACTGTGGATAGCTTAGTTTTAGCACAATGTTGCAGCCAATACTGGAGATTTTCCTAAGCCTTGTCAACACATACTATCTGGTTACAAGTTTCAGGATACTTTCAAAGTTTTCAGCAACTATGGCATTACTAGCAAAATGCTAAGTTTAGTCATTTACGAGCAAAGTTTAGGAATCGGGGCGGAACCCCTAAATGATTCATTTCCAAAGGCCTGAAACTTGTCTGAAACCTGCCCAAACCCCAAACTTTGTCCTAGTAATGGGGTAAGCTAATCAGAAGCACACACATAAGCTATTAACAGCTAATAAGAACATGACATAGTCAATCTCGCAATTAACATTTAAACATGTGGGGGACGTGAATATTGATGCTTTCATTGGCTTTTGAACTTGCCCCCTGCCCCCAACTTTTAACAGGTCTTTATGGCATCACATGTTCTAAAGCTATTTAAAGTGCTTTTATTTAAGGCTGTAAAGTCTCAAGTCCAGGAAAACAAGATGTTTGTCCTATATTTTTGCCTTCATGCCACTTGCTCAAAGATGGCATCTCTTTGTCCTCATGCAACTTGCATTAAGCTTCATCACTGTTGGATGACATCAGTTGTTTCCTAACCTCAAGGTCAGGTGTTGAACAATACCCGTTACCTTTACAGAATTGAGCAGCTGCAGTATCACATGTGCAGTTTTTTTTTTAACATTGTGCTCTAACTTGTGTCTATAGACATGTCTTACAAATTGAAAAATCTGTTAGTCCTGCAGCACACTGGTAGAAACTCTGAACATGAAGTGAAATGCACTGATCAGTTACATCTTTAGTTTGCTCAACAGACCCAGATTCACCATTATGTATAATAAAAAGCATTAAATGCTGTGCTGTAGGGGTTATTGCACAGTTGAATCTATCAAACTAGTAATTTTGTGTGAAAATGGCTACATTGTAGTAAGAATTCAGTAATTTATAAATGTATCAGTCCCTTTAAGAAGCCTAAAAAACCTCATGTGTATCTTTTGATCAGTTTTATCCACTTATCTGAAGTCATGTTGTGGGGACATCAGGGTTTTCCAGACTTTCCTCCTGGAGATCCCTAAGGAGTTCCCAGGCCAATCGAGAGAGAGAATCCTTTCAGCAAGCTCTTTGAAATCGTGGATGCAGCACAATCACTGGTTAACCATTTGAGTGACAAGTAGTTAGGCAGTGGACTTACCCTCAATTCTCCTTATTGGCGCTAATATTGACCAGAATTTAGAAAATAAACTTGGCTTTACTCTAAGACTGTGACTGGTGCTGGAGCTCATGACCTCAATATCAACAGAGGTCAGAGTAAGGTGAGGGCTTTTCCCCCCCCCATAGTCTTGTTTTTGTTACTTTTAATTTTTTCTTTTTTTTTTCTTTTTTTTTTTGCTGTAAGAGCAGTTGCCCCCTGCTGACCATTAGTAGTGCAGCTTTTAGACACTACTTGGTTGGTTTATTTTCTTTGGTTGGTGCTTGTTGAAGAAATTTTAGCCTTTCCTTTTTGGCCCCAATTACTGATATTTTTTTTAATCTATTTTTTTAAATGTGTGTTTAACATTAAAAGGAAAAAAATGGCAATATTTTCTGTGCTTCACACCTTCCACTGCTGACTGCCCCTCCCTGACCTGGTTCTGCTGGTGCTCTACCTGTTAAAGGGAGCTTCTCCTTCCATCAGTAGTTTGATGGTTGGGGTTCTCTCTCTATTGTAGAGATTTATAATAAAAAGGCTCCATAAAACAGTGGTTGTGAGCTGGTGATATGTAAATAAAATTAACCTGTGCACAAAATATTAAATTTAATCATGAAACAACTAGTTATTGAAAGATGCATTCCTTGAATTCCAGCCTGCTGTGGAAAAATGGCCTTTGGGGGAAAACTGGTGAATCAGAAGTGCTTATAATGCGCACACACTCCACACACAATACACCCACCAGCAGCACCACCACCACTGTCTCATTCTCAGCTTCTCACCAGGCCTGAACGAACACACACACACACACACACACACACACACACACACACACACACACACAGGCCGTGTGAGCCTATTTGAACAAGATGCCACGCAAATTAGGCAACAGCGAGATCAGCAGCGGCAACCCTGGCCTGATTAAAATGGATGTATTTTTTTCCCTCCATGGTTACTGTGATACCATGCTAGACCCAGATCCTCGGCTATAGAGAGGGGGGGCGGCTATGTGGGGGTGTGCTTGATTCTTGAAGTGGGCGGGGAGGTGGACAGGAGGAGGAGAGCACTGCAAACGTTTCTGTTACTGGGGAAAACTGCATCACCATGACCTCAACTGTGAAAGCAGTTCTATAGCACACAATGAGCTGCTATTTTGGGCAGGAGACGGTTCATTACAGCTCCATGCCTGTTGAATCTGTGGTTTAAATTAGGAGAGTACTACTACTACTAGCAGATCATGAGAAATAAAATACGTTAAGCTTATGTCTTCAGTTAAAGTGTGCCAAAATAATTAGGTCTTTAGTTAAAATGAATCTTTTTTTTTTTTAATGAGTCTACAAAATCCTAAGCTGACACAGTTGGGTTGTATTTCTCACAGTAGTAATAGAAAATATTCTGTAAATTAGTCTTAAAGTAGTGTAGTTTTGACAGTTTACTGAGACATTAAACAGTTTGTACTCTGTGCCCAGTAATGCAGAACAGTGCTGGTTCACAATGCTTTCCACCTCGCAGTGATGGAGAGGGAGAAGT